TGGGGCATTCCGACCAAAACAGGCACAATCACAAAAACTTGGACTGACTCACCACCCGTCAAAAGCCGCCCGGCACCGGCCATGAGTTTTTTGAAGAATCCTTGCTTGGGTTCCGATCCATCCCCAAACTTTGTTTTGAAGTCAATATCGTCTTCGAGATACATCATGGCACCAGCCTCGGCAATGGCGGTTTCCTGTGGATCCAAATGAACCTCGACCAGCTGCATTTCCTGTCCCTTGATTTCATAGTCGATTTTGTGGCAATTCACGGGATCGTGGGCCTGTGACATGACACCTTGGGTGGGACCACCGCCATGCGAGAAACTAGATGTGAATGGATTGGCTGGTGTCGCTGTCACATGAGGAATGGGGGAGGAGGACAATGTTTGGTAGGATGGGGCCACATTTGGATCCTTGTAGGCAGGCGGGGCTGACGGGGGGTAAGCCGGGGCGCGGTTTGTGGGAGCATTGATCGCCTGATTAAATGCAGGCGCTGGAGCAGAAACAGGGACACTACTGGCAGTGGCGGCACTGGAAGGTGTGTAGCTGGTGGCGGCAGTAGAAGGTGTGTAGCTCGTGGCAGCAGTAGAAGGAACGTATCCCCCAGTGTTGCTGGTGTTGCCACTTTGAACCGGACCGCCAGCAGCAGCTGATGGATTGTAGCTCATGGCGGTGGCCGAAGGAACGTATCCTCCAGTATTCTGGTTGCTGGTGCCACCGTAGTTTGTGGATCCAGTTGCCGCAGAGTATCCACCACTCGCCGCTGAGGATGGGGTGTAGGTTCCTCCAGAAGAGTAGCCCGAGGCTGCAGCAGAGGGAGTGTAGCTGTTTGCCGCCGAGGACGGAGTGTATCCGCCTCCGTGCGATCCACCCGCTGAAGCAGAAGGCGTATAGCCACCTGCTGCCGCAGAAGGGGTATATCCACCTGCTGCTGCAGAAGGCGTATAGCCGCTGGCGCAGTTGAGGGCGTATAGCGCTTGCTGCCGCTGATGGTGTGTAGCCGCCAGCAGAGGTACCGGTATAGCCACTGGCGGCGGCAGACGGGGTATAGCCATTATTGTTGTTATTGCTGCTGTTGTTGCCGCCCTGTCCTGGAGGGGCTGAGAATATAGAAGGAACGTTAGACATGGTTCAGATATCTCTTGTTTTGCTTTTGTTCTTCAAAGAATACGGTAGTAGGTTCGATAGATTATGGTATCGCCGTCGCCGCCATTGTCGTCGCTGAAAAAGAAAAAGCAAGAATCAATCAAGAAGCTCTGCAAAGATCCATCTATTCCGGCAGGACTCACTTCGGGAATGAACGAATGAACACCTTGGGTGAAGGGGATGCTGGAAACGCCAAATCCGTACTGGTACTATGCAGACTATGTGCTCAATTCTAGCCAGCTAGCTCTAGCCAGAGAAGCCCAAAATGCTAGACAGCTCTAGAGCCGCACTGTGTGCTGGTTCCAACCCACAGAACTGGCCCTGTGTAGAAGGCATTCCCAACAAGTACGACTGTACGGTACGGTAAGCAAAGTATGCGACATATAAATACTAGTACCACGCTTTGTTTGGCGCGAGGTTGTTCCCTCTTCTCTACATTTGCATCAAGTTTTTGCAGTCACTCAACGTATTGCCAATTGGAGTCGTAGGCAGGTACCGGTACCGTAGTCCTACATCCAATACATCCAAGATTAGAAAGCACCACCAGTGGGACCCAACTCAAGCAAGCAATGCATTTTGAGTTGGAAGTGCAGCCAGAACAAAGTAGAGTTTTGACTATGGGCCTGTGGCACCGGTGTGGTCTTAATTAAATAGCTCAAATCCTACGGGAACTTTCCTTTTGCTTGCGTGCACTTCAGTCTAGTGCCTAGACTTGGGAAGTCATGTGCAAGCAACCAAGCTGCAACATGTGTGTGCCCATTCTCTGCACCAGCCAAAGCACAGCAATCTTCGTACCATGGGCAACCATTGGCACGGGCATACTCTAGAATCTCCAAATGACCATTCGATGCTGCATAGCAGCAAATGTGTTCATCCCAAGGGCATTCCCTGCTTTCCATGCAACCATTGGATCAAAGAAAAGTCACCACGAGAAGCAGAAACACCACATGCATCTGCATTCCAGGGACACCCATTTTCATGTGCCCACTTCAGGATTTCAACATGGGGTTTGGGGTGAACCTGATACAGTTCCCTGCTTCGCCAATCGCCTCCGTAGGCAGCGTTTGTGATTGTTGCGTCGTTATGTGCATACTACTGTAGCACCTTCAGGTGCCAATTGCGAGAGGCAAGAAATAGGGACATTGAGTTGCATCGCTAATCGCTAACCCTAAATCGACTAAGTACAATCCCGCAGAGCTGTTTACTTCCACCGAACTCCCACAGCCAACCATTCTTGCAAGCACAACACAAAGCACCACAGAGTACGAACACAACCGACAAACTCAAGCCAAGGAAACAGAATCTATCATGGCCCGCCCGGAGAAAGAAGATGACGAGAAGAAGGACGAAGACAACGTGGATGATAAGCAGACGGATTCTTTGTTAGAGGAGGGAGAGGAATCTAAAAAGAAGAAGCGCAAGCGCAAGCGAAAAAGATCCAAGAAAAGTGCATCCAAAGAAGAAGAAGAAAAAGAGCAGGAAGATGCTGCAGAGTCTAGTAACAACAATGTTCGTGAAGACGACACGGTACGAACAGCCTTTGTGGAAGGAGTGCCTTATGATGCTACGACTGATCAAGTAGCCGAATGTTTGCTGAAACATACCAAGATTGAACGACGCGACATTACCGATTTGAGGTTTCCCACGTGGCAAGATTCTGGCCGAATGAGAGGATACGGCCATGTGGTCTTTACCAGCAAGGAAATCCTCGATCAGGTGCTTGAGGTTGCCAACAACCAGAAAACAAAGCTGTGGATGGGAAGACGATACCTTTCATTGCAAAAAGCCCGTCCCAAAGGTAATGGCATTGATCCAAATACCCAGCACGTCAGCGCTCCGTCCAAGACTATCATGATCAAGAAGTTGGATTATCAAGCCACAGAGGAGGACATTATCCAAGTAATGGAACAATTTGGCACTATTGTTGATGGAGGAGTGAGAATTGCACGCAACTTCAAGACGCGACAAAACAAGGGATTTGCTTACATTGCGTATGAAGAGTTGGAATCGGCCAAAAAGGCCATGGAGCATCAGCAAAAGCAACCCAACAAACCCATTTGTATTCTCAATCGAGCCTGCATTCTGGATTATGATGAAGGTCGAATGAAGGGGTCTTTCAAGACTGCTACCGGCAGGCTCTGGAGTCGAGAATACCAGCATCAGCAGCCATCATCCAGTGGCACAAGCAACAAGCAAGCCAGAACGAAGTGACCGTTTACACAAATCTGCCTTTCTATACCAATGTACATGTAATTTTCATTGGCCAGCTAATAGCATTGCCAGCCTTTCTGTAGTCAAAGTCATAGAGTCCGTCCAAGACTATCATGATCAAGAAGTTGGATTATCAAGCCACCGAGGAGGACATTATCCAAGTCATGCAGCAATTTGGCACTATTGTTGATGGAGGAGTGAGAATTGCACCCAACTTCAAGATGACGAAACCCTCTATGAGTCGAGTCGAGTCTGTTCTTCCCACCCGAACATCAGAGCTTCCCAGCGTCCACTTCCCTTGATACAGCAATTTCTTCGTTGCTTGACCTCTGCCTCCTGCTATCCATGACGGTCATCGGCAAGATTCTTTCCAAGCTTTCCAAATGGAGACGGACGTGACTCACTAAGAAAACTACACCGTCTGCTGCTCGTTCTGATGAAGAACGCCCTTCTTGGCCTGACAAACTGGATCTTCTTCAAGCCAAGGGAGATTGCCCTATGCTAGCGATAGATTGAAAATTGTGTGCTAAGTTATGGTTGATCTAGATCTGAGGCTGCTCCAGTTGAGCAGTCTTCAATGCAACCAAGGATATATAGGATATATAGAGAAGCCTTGGTCATCCTGCTCATGGCATTGCCATGACAGGGGTGCTATGTAGTAGTCCATCCTGGTGTGGTTGGTCTATCTATTGATGGGGCTGCTAGTTAGTTAGTGGGTCCTATTGCTACACCAGTACATCCGCTTCCACAATAGTGATGAGATCCATTCAGACATCTCCGTTTGGATCTTGTGTGGAGCCTTAGTCTTCCGACGTGTGGTACGGATCCAATCGGCGAAGATTGACAGTATCTTGTACTGCTCCGCGCTGGATCTTCAGGGTACCATTGTCATTGACTTGTAGTACGGTGTGGGGACCTGTTCGTGGCTTATTCAACTTGTCTGTAGCCCTGTCTTCCGTAGAAGTACTTTATTGCCCTGTTGGTACTCGTGAGCAATCCTGTTGGCGTTCTCACGGTCATTGTTCCGTTTCATTTCCTTCTGGCGTTTCATGCGCAGTTGGGCCCAATCCGTGTTGAATCGAATGGGTAGGAACATGTCTCTTCCAAGGACTAGTTGTGCTGGCGTTGCTTCTGGTAGTATGATATGTGCTCCTAATGGCAAATGCTGTAGCTGAGAGGAAGTCTCTCCAGAGATGAGCTGGGTCAAGCTCTCTCTTTCATCCAACTCGAAAGTCCGTAGACAATCATTGAGAACTCCATGCACTCGCTCCACGATGCTATTGGCTTGTGGATTTCTGCGGTGATACTGTGGGGCTTCATATCGTAAGTCTCCCGTACAGCTTCAAAGACCTTTGCAAACTCCTTGCCGTTGTCAGCCTAGATGATGGGGTCGAGGATATTGACTGAGCCATACATTGTCAAAGGCATCTGCACAGTTTTTGAAGTTAATCTCGGGCAATGCTGCAATCTCAAACCATCTTGTGGTTGGATCGATCATTGTCAAAGCCCTAAGCTCATGAGTTTTTCCCTTGGCATCTGTGATGCTAAGTGGTCTAATGCAATCGAGATCCACTCTGTTCCATGGATTGCCTTTTTGGCCTTCTTCAATGGAAGCTTTCCATATTTCTTACGTCCTGTTTTCTTGCACAGCTGGCACTTGTGACAGGTGCGGACACATTTGCGACAATTGTTTTCTTGGTCAGGCCACCATAGTGTCTGACCAATTGTCTTCTGGAGTCGTTCTGCTCCTGGGTGTACTAGGTTTCATGGTACCAAAATACATACGATGCGACCCTGTACTAGTCTGTTTGGGACCACAATCTTGCCTTGGAACGTAATAAGTTCCTCATCTTCAATGGTCCTAGTGGAATACTCCCTCTTGGACTGTTTGATGTCGGCAAGAAATGTTTTGTCCTTTTGTTGAGCCTTTCTGATGACTCTAGGACTTATGTGGAAGCCTTCCGTGACAGCATCGGCAGTTTTTGCCAACACATATTCTTCCAAATGGAAGGACACGTGCTCACAATCGAGACATGCTTCATCTCTCATGAGCTCAGCCATGGTGCATGCGCACACTAATTATGCCAAGTTCTCCCCTTGTTCTTCCAGGGGTTCTTCTGCCATGTCCATTCTGGATAAGGCATCTGCGACCACATTGTCCTTTCCAGCAATGTGCCGGAATTCGGGACTGAATTCTTCAACTAGCAACCTCCATCGAGCAATTCGATCATTGGTGATGATACCGTATAAGATATTCTTATGGTCGGTATGGACTACTAGACGTTGTCCCAGTAGGATATTGTGGAACTCTTTAAGTGTCTCTACAATTAACAAGAGTTCTTGTTCACCTGTGGTGTACCTTTTCTGGGTGTCTGTCAGCTTCCGACTGTAAAACGCAAGAGGTCGCCCTTCTTGCATGATGACAGCTCCAAGCTGGTAGTCACTTGCATTTGTATAGACATGAAACTCCTTTGTAAAGTCTGGAAAAGCAAGAAGTGTCTCTTTAGTACTCGATCATCGCAGTCTTGATATCTTCAAAGGCCTGTTGTTGCTTTGCCTCCCAATGCCATTTGACATTTTTACTCACTAACTTAGAGAGAGCGGGGCTAAGAGATGACGGTGGCGTCACCACATGTCACGGTAGAAGTTCACCATGCCAAGGAAATGCCTCAGCTGCCTAACATTTCTGGGATGTTCAAGGTGCAGTATCGCTTTCACTTTCTTTGGCTGGGGTTGGATACTGCAATACACGGCTCTTAGCCTTATTCGCGACTCGATCCTAGATAGGGTTGAGTTCGACTCATGACTGAGTCTTCTCGTGAATAGTCATTTGAGAAGACAGGTTCTCAATGACCGCCTAGCATACTAGGTTGATGATGAAACATCGCTCTAGAT